TTAGATTGCAAATTATAAATCGCGATATATATTTAAAATTATTAAGTACAAGGGATAATTGATATTTACAAGCAACAGCGGTACACGCGTTAGGGCAATTTTCTCGAATTTATGATAGTGGTATAAAAATTGTAAATATGAGGATCAAGCATTTGTGTGGTAAAGTTTTGTAAAAAAAAGCGATTAAACTATTGTATGAATATCATGCACGCGATGAATAGGCGTAAATCCTGCGTACAGAATTACGCATGCGATATTGCATAACAGATTTTTTGATATCATTGATGAAGAAACAGTGTTTGACAAATTTAAACAAATGTGTAACGTAATAAAATTTTTGTTATTACGCATCTCGTTAAATCTTTTTGTAACTCTGCATATAATTAATTTTGAATAAGAAAATTTCGAAATATGTTTCATAAAATCTTAATGTTTTGTTTTTATGACACCTTATGGCACCTGATAAGAAAAAATTTAATCTCATTACTTTCCATTTGATATAATTTGATAAATGTTGTTAAATTAACATTTTGTGAATAGATGAAAATTGTTTAAAGAGATTGCGAACGAGGAGAGAGAAGGAAGGGACGTGGTAAGGGTATAGGGAGGGAGGTAGGGAGGGAGGGGAGGGAAGAGCGAGCGTGCGAGCGAGCGAGACTTTTTATCTACTTTAGGAAATGAAGCTGTAGCTTGTTTATATGAAAATCTGTTTATAAGTATGTCAAATAATTTCAAATGTAATTATATTACAAAGCGTGGATAAATTGTTAACATTTTTTTACTATAATTAGGACTGAATATTCAGTAGCCTTGATCGAAAAAGAATAAATAAAACTGTATGCTTTCGAAATTCTGCGATATAAAAATCTCTAGAAATTATATACTTATAATTTATATAAAATATAAGATACATAATTTCAAAGATTAAATTCTATCGCTAACGTAACCATACGAATCGTTGTACGAATTCTGTTCAAGAAATACTGAATTTTGCTGAAGAAAGAAGATATGAAATAGAAGCAGCTAATGTAATAAAGAAAAAAAAACGAAGATTAATCTAAAATAACTATTGCAATCTATAAAAATTAGTCTTTGATATTAAGAAACGCGCCCGAGCAAACGAGTAACAAATAATTTCCGAATCTGACACAAATTAAAACGAATTGAAAACTAGTTGAAACGAGTTAAAACGAAAATCTAAGAATGTGAAACCTTTGGTAAAATGACAAATACTATGGGATGTTAATACTTCATACTGTCGCGTTTATCAAACATTATTACAGAATTGATGCAAAATTACAACTGATTTTCTATATACATCACATAATAATACAGTGCATAATGTCTCTGCTTTACTATCTATATATCATTTATGTACATAGCCAAGTATATATGTATATACATGTATCTGAAGTGAAGGACGCAACAAATAAGCTAAAACACACTCAGCTCCACGCCACAGAATACAGTCTCGTCATACCTCGTTGACTCATTAGCTAAAACCAATGCGTACTTGTTTCATACAAGAGCATAGTGCATCGTACTACAGCGGATCCTGTAACATACTTCGGATTCTTAAAATGTAGCATGATATTCTGTGCCCTCATATGCAGCAAATGCGCACAGATCCTTTTAGTGTGTTAATAATCTGATCAGAAGGTCAATTTCTTTGTATAAGAAAGTAATTTTAGACTATTTGAATAACAACTCAAATAGTTTACTAAATATACAATATCGATGTTTTTTTCTCTCCGACATGCGCTAAGTTTTGTACAAGAAATTACATAGGAATTTTATACGCATTATTTTTGTTATCTTTATACACGCAAGGATCTAACCATCTATTCTCTAAAATTTGTTAAAAACCCAGTTAAAACCTCTATAGTGATTCTCGCGTTCTCAAAAACTTGAATAAAATGATGTAAAATGTAGCCGCGTAGTGTAATTATAACGTCTAGTAATAGTCAGGTAAGTCAATGCTGCTGCGCGCGCGCGCGCGCGCGTGTGTGTGTGGGTGTAATTGTATGCATGTATGATATGTGTGTAAATGTACGTATGTACGTGTACATACATACATGATGTATATATGTATATTGGTATATATATTTATGTTTTTTTTCCAAAGGCTTCACTACTGTATTTTCGAATATGATAGTAAGAGTTAAGTATGAAACGAGACTTAACAATTTACTGCTTCCAAATTGTGTATGTACAAAACTGTATGTAGAAGTCTGTTAAATATTTACATTCTCGAAAATCTATTAATTTATATTGTGAATCTACTATTATATACTTCGTTATCTACGATAATATATCACTATATAGAAGAAAAAACGAAATTTTAAAAATCGACTAATGTCACATATTACAATATAATTTAATATTTACTTGTATTAAGAATTATTTTCATCCTTTTAATCACTTATTAAATACGTAGATGCCTCTTTCAGATGACATGTACATATTTATCTAGTTAGTTACACATGTTTCAGAGAAAATGAGCTTTCTCGATTATACAATAAGAATATAGATAACTGATTTAAGCTCTGATTTAAACAATAAACACAAATTTTAAAATGTATAATTTTGTATGCCAAAAATACCTCATACCTCAAATATTAAATGAAAGTTGTTTACTGATAATTACTAATCCATATATAAATTTGATATGCATATCAATAATGAAAAAATTCCAAACTAATATAATAAACAAATATAATGAAAAAAATTATATAAATTTTGTCCAAGCAGAGTGCGTGTATACATTTATTAGCATTAAAAACTGACTAAAATTAATACAAATACTTTTCTGTTATTTGAATAGACTAATTAGTTTTCAAATTGTTACATATCATTCTTTTTTCGTCTACAATAGTCTTTTTCAACGTGACACTCTACTAATATTTGTTGAAATTATATCATAGTTTTTTTATTTTTATAAAAAACTATTCGAAATTTATATCTTCAAAGAAATAGAACTGATACGAGTTTTTACAATTTTATTAAAAATTTTACTTTTGCAACAATTACTCCATCTGATGATTTCAGAATGTGTACTTGTGAAGTAAATCTTATATTTTTACAAAATTGAAACATGTAAAATGTTATTGAACGAAGAATTGGCGGTTTTTACAATAAATGGAGATTTACTAAAAAAAATTTTATTTTTAACGTAAAAATATGACATTATTTTATTACGAAATATTTCTGACAGTAGTGTTTTAGTTTTGCTTGTTGCAATTTCAGTTTTAACTATTTGGAAATTATAAAAAATATTTGATACGTGGATAGAATATTATCTGCTATTATGTATCACAATTCTAAATATATTTAATAAAAACTGTTTCTCCCAAAATATGTAATTAGCTAGATGAATGTATATTATACAATTAACCTGAAGAAAGGCATCTAAATTGTACATTTAATTATTATTTTACATTTATTATGGCACTGTTAGTATGACTTTGTGAAATATATGCCAGTTTTCCCTTCCCATCTTATACAGTTTTTATCAATTTACAACAATTGGTCATCTCTTTATGTTATCTCATAACTACACTGGTTCCTGATAAGATTCGTCATTAAATGAATGCAGTGATGAAATAAATGCGATATGATACGTATAATGATATGGTAATATATACATGAAATTTTCCTTATTTTGTTAACCGATCAACATTGGCTACTATATAATAGCATTCTGTAATATTGCATACTATATAATAAACTTAAATTTAAATTTTTTGAATTATGCAATAATAAATAAAACAAAAAAATATACATATCATATATATGTGTATCACACACAGGCATGCGCGCGCGCACAAGCACCCACATACACAAACACATACACATATATATGTATATATATAATTGCTGTATTTTCACATAAAATCACTGTATACTTTTAGAGAAATCCGCGCAATATAAACAAATTGTTTGAATATTTAAGTATTTAAACAATTAATATAAAACTCATTTAAATAATTTTTTAAAACAATTTTTCATCTTTCTTTATGTAATCAAATATAAAAAAGATAATTTAGATATAAATAATTCATAAAGAAAAAGAATAAAATAAGATAAAACAAGTAACAATAAAAATGAGGATAAATATAAAAAATAAAAAAATAATTTATAATGTAACACTCATAACATTTAATTAAGAAGGAAATCGTACTGACATTGTTCTTTCATTTTCTCAATAAATTTTATATATCAATTTTTACTAACATATACTACGATAGAAAACTAAATAAAATAAAACGAAAACAACCGTGAAACAAGAAAACGATATATTAATATTATTTATCATATTTTGTATGTTTAGAATAATTTAGAATAATCAATTAATTAAACAACGTATTACACACATGTATTTAGAAAAAAATTGGGAAAGTATGCTACAATGTGTCAGAAAATTTCATGTGATATGCAGCACCATACAAACAACTATAACGGACGAAACAATTCCACAAGTTTCCTATAAATTCCCAATCATTATAAAGTATAAATATATAAATTTTGTGTTGTTTTGCCTACAAAATGAGTATGAATTGAACTGTTGAATAACTACAGAAATTTGACGATCGACGTTGATAATATATACGAATACCCTAATCCATTCGCGTAAAGCGTCGTAAGCAGTCCAGTAAAGTATTTGCGTCCATATAATTCTTCTGCCTCATAGAATAATTGTAAAGATTGATATATTATGCATTGTAACATTTTTCATGAGTCGTCAAAGTTCCTACTATAATAAGATTTTTCGCAAGGATAAAATCACTCCTCGCGAAAGTATCTAAATAACTTATTATTTTCACAAATAAATTCTACTTTTGATAGAAGAAAGTTCCATGAAACCTTTATTCTTTGGGGCACTCGTTGTACGACAAATAAAAACGACGAAACGTACAACTTTAATCACAGATGTCAATTATGCGAATGAACGTTAACTTGAACATTGGCAATGATTATAAAAAGGTACTTGGATCCTATACCTTCTTGCTAATGTCAGTGTTCTTGCGTTTTCTGCCCCTCCCCCCCCTTGCTGCCTCGCTACTCACAGGATGATTGGTCGTCGGCTCATTCTCTGTTAAGGCAGGAGTGTCTTTTGGACTAGTTTGACCAGTTGCAGGTGCAGAGAATCTCTCAACGTACGTCGACCACTTCTCAGAGACTGTGACGCCTTCTCTTTCTCTCTCTCTACAGCCGCTATCCATCGTTTCGTCACCCTCCGTATCTAACAACTCCATTGTCATTTTACAGTCTTTCTTGTACTGTAACGAAAAAACAAAGCACATAAGACAAAAATAGAACAACTAATTTACTATGCATAAGACATTCAATGCTTAGCGTGTTACTATAGACAAATTTAACGAAATTAATTCAGTTTTATCCACAACACTGACTTGTACAATCATG